CTGGTGGGTTTCTTAAGGGTCAGTCTTGTTAGTGAAAACGAGGGCCTCCATGGTCCACATTGCAACTGTGAGGCAAGTGTTTGGCTCACAGTTGAGGTGCGGCCCCATTGATCTGAACGGAAAACACCAAAATGGTAAACACTGTGTGGTCCTCCATGGTCACATCATTTAAGATTTTCATCCATTCCACTATGTCAGGATCTAGATCTGAACCACTGTGGTGTCTGGCTGAGTCTCTTCTTGGTGGGTCTCTTAAGGGTCAGTCTTGTTGGTGAAAACGAGGGTCCCCATGGTCCAAATTGCAACTGTGAGGCAAGTGTTTGGCATACAGTTGAGGTGCGGCCCCATTGATCTGAGCGGAAAACACCAAAATGGTAAACACTGTGTGGTCCTCCATGGTCACATCATTTAAGATTTTCATCCATTCCACTATGTCAGGATCTAGATCTGAACCACTGTGGTGTCTGGCTGAGTCTCTTCTTGGTGGGTTTCTTAAGGGTCAGTCTTGTTAGTGAAAACGTGGGTCTCCATGGTCCAAATTGCAACTGTGAGGCAAGTGTTTGGCTCACAGTTGAGGTGCGGCCCCATTGATCTGAACGGAAAACACCAAAATGGTAAAACACTGTGTGGTCCTCCATGGTCACATCATTTAAGATTTTCATCCATTCCACTATGTCAGGATCTAGATCTGAACCACTGTGGTGTCTGGCTGAGTCTCTTCTTGGTGGGTCTCTTAAGGGTCAGTCTTGTTAGTGAAAACGAGGGTCCCCATGGTCCAAATTGCAACTGTGAGGCAAGTGTTTGGCTTACAGTTGAGGTGCGGCCCCATTGATCTGAGCGGAAAACTCCAAAATGGTAACCGTCTATGTTCAACCTGTGTCCTTGGGCATCTCCACCTACGTGGAGAGTTCTTATTCCTCTTGTTGCTTCCTCCATAATATAGGATTTTGTAGGCAGGTGCAGTCTATTATATCCAATGTAGGTGGTGCTTATTCAAAGCAGCAATACAGCTGGAAGGAAACTAGTAGGGATGTACTGTGACCGATACCGGTATGATGGTCTCAATTATACATTGTCCTCTTGAGGAGGTTAGCTGTAAAGCCCACTATGATAGGTCCTACCTTTATGTTCAACCTGTGTCCTTGGGCATCTCCACCCATGTGGAGAGTTCTTATTCCTATTGTTGCTTCCTCCATAATATAGGATTTTGTAGGCAGGTGCAGTCTATTTTATCCAATGTAGGTGGCGCTTATCCAAAGCAGCAATACAGCTGGAAGGGAAGTCAAAGGAAACTAGTAGGGATTTACTGATACCGATACCGGGATCTGTATCAGCGCCGATACCGAGTATTTACCGAGTACTCATGAAAATGCTCCCAATACCGGAAACCAATACTTTGTGGTGCGATTTGTGTCAATACAAAATGCAAATTGCCCTGGTCACAGCATTTAAGATTTGCACCCATTCCCCTATTTCAGGATCTAGATCTGAACCACTGTGGTGGCTGACTGAGTCTCTTCTCACCGTGCCACCCGAGATGCAGGCCATCTCCCTGCCTGATTCCATGGACAACCTTACTTTGTTTCTGGTGGACCTTGAACTCTTTGCTCCTACTATGAACTTTCTGGTCTAACCATGTCTCTGCCCTTCCTGTTTGCCAGATTATTGTGCTCCTATCCAACCAATGTTTCTCATCTCCTGGTGGGGCGATCCTGAGGGTGCTGTGGCACCATGCATTTTGGTGCTTGAGGAGATGCGCATGTTAGCAGAGGCGTGGGAGCACCATCAGGGCTCCTGTTAGAAACAACGGGACCCCATACAGCCATCCTGACAGTCCCTCCCCCCCTTAATAAAAACATAGTTTACTATGCTTCGGTTATGAATGAACACCATAGGTGATCAGTACTAATCACTCATGTTCATTCAGCAAAGGCAGGGGCTGGTAAATATGATGTCTTTACCGGACCTTTCCTATACTCTCCGTCCTGAAGGATCCTATTGTGTTTGCAGCTGCCGGTGGGAAGGGGAGGAGGGAAGCCGGCAGCACTGCAACGGTGGGGGCCTGGGCAGCAGGGGGGAAACTTTTGGAGCACAGGGAGGGCAATGGGTTGTGGCGATGAGGGACAGTTACCGGAACTGATCCCCTGTATGGATTTCTATGCAGCAGCTGAAAGCCAGCGGGAGGGAGAGGAGAAGAAGCCGGCTTTCAGCTGCTGCAGCAGAGAGAGCCATACAGGGGATCGGTTCCAGTAATTGCTGCTCCCCCTCACCCACAGTGCCGATCACCCTCCCTGCCCACATCCGGTTCACCCAGCTGCCAGCCATTCATAAGGACTGATGGTACCCCCTTATCCACAGCCCTCGGCTCCATTGAGAAATAATGGCATGGCAGCGTGTATACTAAAGGGCAGCGCATTTCTGTGTATGCCGTTGACAGTGTCTCTAAGGCTTTGCACACATTCTGTGCATGTTGAAAGCATGCAAAAACAATTGTGCCCTTTAACAGACACGTGGTGGTGCCATTAATTCTTACTGGCACTCCCATGCATCCTCATGGTGCTGCAGCACAATTTTGCGAAAGGGCCAGGGACTGCTTTTGCATAACTTGCGCACAGAGGACAGCCTGCTGCAATGAATGGCCCACCCTACACGTGACGTGCGGGAACATATGCGCTCCCCGTCCTACCTTCCTGGTCAGGGTCGTCTAAATGGGCCCCTGGGCAAAGCAGTGCAACAGGGCCCCTACCAGCCTGCCCCAAATTACGCACCTAATCTCGTGAATTAAAGTATAAGTAGTTGATAGAAATAAATATATATTTATTATAACTTTCAATAAAATTGATTTTAAGCAATAAGAAACATGCTATAAATCAAACACTTATCAGACACACTACGGGGGAAGGGAAGGCAAAAGGGCACAGTACAGGGGGAGTCAGAAAGGCACGATAATGGGATCAGGAGGGCACAGTACAGGGGGAGTCAGGAGGGCACAATACTGGGATTAAGAGGGCACAGTACAGGGGGAGTCAGGAGGGCACAGTACAGGGGGAGTCAGGAGGGCACAGTACAGGGATCAGGAGGGCACAGTACAGGGATCAGGAGGGCACAGTACAGGGATCAGGAGGGCACAGTACAGGGATCAGGAGGGCACAGTACATGGATCAGGAGGGCACAATACTGGGATTAAGAGGGCACAGTACAGGGGGATCAGGAGGGCACAGTACAGGGGGAGACAGGAGGGCACAGTACAGAGGGAGTCAGGAGGGCACAGTACAGGGGGAGTCAGGAGGGCACAGTACTGGGATTAAGAGGGCACAGTACAGGGGGATCAGGAGGGCACAGTACAGGGGGAGACAGGAGGGAAAATACTGGGATCAGGAGGACACAATACTGGGATCAGGAGTGCACAGTACAGGGATCAGGAGGGCACAGTACTGGGATCAGGAGGGCACAATACTGGGATCAGGAGGGCACAGTACTGGGATCAGGAGGGCACAATACTGGGATCAGGAGGGCACAATACTGGGATCAGGAGGGCACAATACTCGGATCAGGAGGGCACAGTACGGGGGGGGGGGGGGGGGGGTAAGGAGGGCACAATACTGGGATCAGGATGGCACAGTATGGGGGGGGGGGGTGTAAGGAGGGCACAATACTGGGATCAGGAGGGCACAGTACAGGGAGGCGGTAAGGGGGGCACAATACTGGGATCAGGAGGGCACAGTACAGGGGGAGACAGGAAGGCACAATACTCGGATCAGGAGGGCACAGTACGGGGGGGGGGGGGGTAAGGAGGGCACAATACTGGGATCAGGACGGCACAGTATGGGGGGGGGGTGTAAGGAGGGCACAATACTGGGATCAGGAGGGCACAGTACAGGGAGGGGGTAAGGGGGCACAATACTGGGATCAGGAGGGCACAATACTGGGATCAGGAGGGCACAATACTGGGATCAGGAGGGCAGAGTACAGGGGGAGTCAGGAGGGCACAAAACTGGGATCAGGAGGGCACAATACTGGGATCATGAGGGCACAATACAGGGGGAGTCAGGAGGGCATAATACTGGGATCAGGAGGGCACAGTACAGGTTCTGGGACGCTTCCTGGGCCAGCCCAGAACAGCTTAGTAAAAAGCGTGCCAGTCCCAGAAAATCCGGGACAGTTGGCCAGTGTGTGAAATAATGCAAGATTACCATGGAGCCCCCATGCACCTTGGGCCCATGTGCAGTGCCCAGAGGTGCCCATCCATTAAGACAGCTGGTGCCTAACTGTGCCTAAGTCCCAGTCTCTAATCTTCCATCATCTCTTTCAGTGTTCAGGAATGATATTTTCAGTCTGAGACGCTGTATCTGGATTCCCAAATGTTGCCATTTTTTCCCCATCAAATTATTTGCAGCCGTTTCACAAACTCACGCACCAACTTAAAAGCCTGCTGCTAGGTCAGCTCCCTTCACCCCGAGATCACGGTTCAGCGATTTTTATTTTTTTATCTGTGCGTTCATAAAAGCAGAATTTAATTTTTTTCTTCTATGAAGCATAGGCTTTTAAACGTGCTTTTCACGGCGCAGCGAGAGCGCTCCAGGCGCTCGGCAAATGTAAATCCTTTGTTTCGCTCCAAATTTCCCCGGCTGCAGCTGCCTGCGCGATGCTGCCTAAACAAAGACAAAGCAGGTTTGGCCGGCGTCCATGATGTGGAATTCCGTGAACCACAAGTGCACCTTCCGCCAACCCCACATCAGCCAGGACCTGAGTGGGGGGGGGGGGGAGAGGCAGGGATACCCCTCCAATCCAGACCGGGACCTCTGCGGGGAGACGTCTCGTGCTGGGAGAGAGGGCTGCAGTGCCGATCCTATAAAGGGTTACGTGAAAAGGATTTTCTTGGAGAGTTCCAAATCACGCTGAAAGTGGCTTCCTGCTGGGTTCCTCATAGTCCTAGCAGGCAGCATTCATTTTCCATTGCTGACTAGTAGTTGTGTTGTACTTACAGACCGTCTGGGCCTTTCCGCTGAGCACATGCTCCATATAATCACATCCAGCCTGATGGGAAACCCATTCTGCACATGAGGCTGGGACAATTATTGCTGCTGAATTCACCAAACTCATTCCCTGCCTTTAGGGAACTGCAATTATATTTCTTTATTAAAGTGTTACTAAACCCTGGACCCTGTATTCCCAATATCTTCTCTCCTGGACCCCCGCATTCACTATATCCGTTCTCCCCGGACCCTGTATTCCCAATATCTGCTCTCCCCGGACCCCGCATTCACTATATCGCGCTCTCCCGGACCCCGCATTCACTATATCCGCTCTCCCCGGACCCCGCATTCACTATATCCGCTCTCCCCGGACCCCGCAGTCACTATATCCGCTCTCCCCGGACCCCGCATTCACTATATCCGCTCTCCCGGACCCCGCATTCACTACATCTGCTCTCCCCGGACCCCGCATTCACTACATCCGCTCTCCCCGGACCCCGCATTCACTATATCCGCTCTCCCCGGACCCTGTATTCCCAATATCTGCGTTAGCTCTCTCCCGGACCCCGCATTCACTATATCCGCTCTCCCCGGACCCCGCATTCGCTATATCCGCTCTCCCCGGACCCCGCATTCCCTATATCCGCTCTCCCCGGACCCCGCATTCACTATATCTGCTCTCCCAGACCCCGCATTCACTGTATCCGCTCTCCCCGGACCCCGCATTCACTATATCTGGTCTCCCCGAACCACGCATTCACTATATCCGCTCTCCCAGGACCCCGCATTCACTATATCCTCTCTCCCGGACCCCCGCATTCACTATATCCGCTCTCCCCAGACCCCGCATTCACTGTATCCGCTCTCCCCGGACCCCGCATTCACTATATCTGGTCTCCCCGAACCACGCATTCACTATATCCGCTCTCCCCGGACCCCGCATTCACTATATCCGCTCTCCCCGGACCCCGCATTCACTATATCCGCTCTCCCCGGACCCTGCATTCACTATATCCACTCTCCCTGGACCCTTGCATTCACTATATCTCTGCTCTCCCGGATCCTGCATTCACTATATCCGCTCTCCCTGGACCCTTGCATTCACTATATCCGCTCTCCCCGGACCCCGCATGTCACTATATCCGCTCTCCCGGACCCTGCATTCCCTATATTGCTCTCCAGGACCCCATATTCACTATATCCCCTCTCCCTGGACCCTGCATTCACTATATCCGCTCTCCTCGGACCCCCGGCTTGCCACCAAGGCTCTGTTCTATCAGCAGATGGGTTGGGGACAGTAGAAGAAGGGGAGGATCAGAGAAAACAGGATCAATCAGACTTTTTACACAATGTGAAGGATTAACCCCTTAGGTTCCACAGTGAGTATAACAAGCATGCTTTACTGCATCTACAGACTGATTGTACTGTTGTGGGTTTAGTAACACTTTAAGTTTTGGCTCTCGCTTTATGCAAGTGGCTAGTGTAGGGACAGGATACCCAGCTGTCAAGGTCAGCACTAGATTGAATGGAAGGTTCCAGTGGAGTAGGGAGAGAGTAGGGGCTACGTTTGCTTGTTCCACAAGCTCCCCTTTGGGTTGGACTCCACTCCCTCCACAGATGCTGTCGGTGACTTGGACCCACGAACCGCTGACTCTGCACTGAACTGTTGTAAGTACCCCGGTTGGGTGAACTTTCCTGCTGGGCTTGTTGTACTGTTTTACAAGTTCTGCAATACATTGTTTTTGGCAATACAAGACTCTGGTTGCTTTCTGTCGCCTACTTCTGTATCATTAGGCTTGGCCCTTTCTGCCATGTCCACTGTTACAAGGATAAGCAGCATTGCAGTCATGTTCAGAGAGGTGCTGATTGATGTGTGAGCCTCAGCATAACTGTTCTGTCGGGTATTGGCTGGCAAACTGCAGGCACATTTAAGGTAACATGGAGGCAACATGGAGGCACAGTAGAATACTAGAGGCAGGGATTTTTTTCAGCGGGAACGTGGGACCTCCAGCACTGGATGTATGTAATGGCAAGGGGTGCTGAGGTGTGCTGGAGGGTCTATTGACGCTTGCTGTTCCGGGATCTATTGTTGCTGGAGAGGATCTAGTTTTGAGTAGGGGGTCTTTTGCTGCTGGTGGGGGATCTGTTGTTGCTAGGGGGTCTTATGTTTCTGGGGGCCTATAATTATTGACTGCCAAGGGCGGACTGACAACTCTTGGGGCCCCCGGGCAATAGGGGATTATGGGGCCCCTGTGTCCTTGCCCAAACTCAAAAAAAGCCTATGAAAAAAGGGTACCCAGGGGCATCTCATGGGGCCCCCTACTGACCCCAGGCCCTCGGGCAGTGCCCGAGTTTCCAAATGGTCAGTCCACCCTGCTGACTGCGAAGGGTTTAGAGATCTGTTGTTGCTGCAAGAGATCTATTGTTGCTGGGGAACCTATCATTGCCAGGTGGGTCTTTTTTTGCTGGGGGAACTGTTATTGCCAGGGGGGTCTATTGTTGCTGGTGGCAGGGGATCTATTTTACTGCTTTTCTTGTTATCATTAACACACTCCAAATTACTTAGCACAACAATATGATACTTGGTTCTGTATTCTCTAAAAGGGGCAGTACTGGGAGATGGGTAGGGGTTGGAACAAGGGACGGTGCTCAGAGGTGGGTAGGGGCGGAGACAAGGGTTCCTGCATCTATTCTCTGAGAAAAAAAAAGCCCTGACTAGACACCATTCAAAACCTCAAGTTCAACCCTAAATGGTGCAAAGTTTCAATCTGTTTTCCAAGGATACACAGATACATATAATAAAATTGAGATCAGGTGAGATTGGGCGCATTCAGGATGGTGTGGCCTACGGCTAAGCAGGGTTAGGCTTGGTTAATACTTGGATGGAAGACCGCCTGGGAATACCAGGTGTTGTAGGCTATGCCATGGCCTCACCACCCTGGATGCACCCATTCTCGTCTGATCTCAGAAGTTAAGCAGGGTTTGGCTTGGCTAGTACTTAGATGGGAAACCACCTGGGAATACCAGGTGCTGTAGGCTACACCCACAGCCACACCACCCTGAATGTACCCAATCTCATCTGATCTCAGAAGCTAAGCAGTGTCAGGCTTGGTTAGAATTTGGAAGACCGCCTGGGAATACCAGGTGTTGTAGGCTATGCCTACAGCTGCACTGCCCTGAATGCACCCATTCTTGTCTGATCTGAGAAGCTAAGCAGAGTCAATCTTGGTTAGTACTTGGATGGAAGACCGCCTGGGATTACCAGGTGCTGTAGGCTATGCCGATTCATCTATTCTCATCTGATCTCAGAAGTTAAGCAGGGTTGGGCTTGGCTAGTACTTAGATGGGAGACTGCCTGAGAATACCAGGTGCTGTAGGCTACATCCACATCCACAGCCACGCCACCCTGAATGCACCCAATCTCCTCTGATCTCAGAAGCTAAGCAGGGTCAGGCTCGGTTAGTACTTGGAAGACGCCTGGGAATACCAGGTGCTGTAGGCTACACCCACACCCACAGCCACACCACCTGAATGCACCCAATCTCATCTGATCTCAGAAGCTAAGCAGGGTCAGGCTCGGTTAGTACTTGGAAGACTGCCTGGGAATACCAGGTGCTGTAGGCTACACCCACACCCACAGCCACACCACCCTGAATGCACCCAATCTCATCTGATCTCAGAAGCTAAGCAGGGTCAGGCTCGGTTAGTACTTGGAAGACTGCCTGGGAATACCAGGTGCTGTAGGCTATTCCTACAGCCACACCACCCTGAATGCACCCAATCTCATCTGATCTCAGAAGCTAAGCAGGGGGTCAGGCTTGGTTAGTACTTGGAAGACCGCCTGGGATTGCCAGGTGCTGTAGGCTACACACCACAGCCACACCACCCTGAATGCACCCAATCTCATCTGATCTCAGAAGCTAAGCAGGGTCAGGCTTGGTTAGTACTTGGAAGACCACCTGGGAATACCAGGTGCTGTAGGCTATTCCTACAGCCACACCACCCTGAATGTACCCATTCTCATCTGATCTCAGTAGCTAAGCAGGGTCAGGCCTGGTTGTACCTAGATGGAAGACCACCTGGGAATACCAGGTGCTGTAGGCTAATATAATAAAATTGGCAGCACTCAAGATAGCGGCTCCAAATGTTGCTTATTTCAGATGCAAAGTCCATAAAACCGCACCCTACAGTACCTTATTCGTAGGATTGCTAACATATGGAGGAAATATCTTGAGTGCTGCCATTCTGCCACATATTACTACTTAAAGGGCATCAGCCATGTTCACCAAAAAGGAACTAAAATGGCTGGTATGGCGCAGTCATCCTGTGGTTTCCTGCGCGTATATGTAATAGACCTCATGTCAGTTCCTTTGTGCTTGGGGAAGACCTTGAAGGGAATCAGTTCTGGAATACATCACTCAAAACCTCCCATTCAACCCTTAATTGACCCACCATGGTGCAAAGCCTCAATCTGTCTTCCCAGGATACACCGAAATGTATAACAGAATGGTTGAACTAAAGATAGCTCCTCCAAATGTTACTTATTTCAAATGGAAAGTCCATAAAAACAGCCCCCTACTGTGCCCTATTCATAGCATTGCTAACCTTTAGAGGGAATATCCTGAGTGCTGCCATTCTACTATACACTCAGCGGCCACTTTATTAGGGACACCTGTTTAATTGCTTGGTAACACAAATTGCTAATCAGCCAATCACATGGCACCAACTTAATGCATTTAGGCATCTAGACGTGGTGAAGAACACTTGCTGAAGTGCATATCAAGCATCAGAATGGGGAAGAAAGAGAATTTAAGTGACTTTGAATGTGATATGGTTGTTGGTGCCAGACTGGCTGGTTTTAGTATTTCAAAAAACCGCTGATCTACTGGGATTTTCACACACAACCATCTCTAGGGTTTACAGAGAATGGTCCGAAAAAGAGAAAATATCCAGTGAGCAGCAGCTGTGTGGAGGAAAATGCCTCATTGATGTCAAAGGTCAGAGGAGAATGGGCAGACTGGTTCAAGATGATAGAAAGTCAACAGTAACTCAAATAACCACTCATTACAACCAAGGTATGCAGAATACCATCTCTGAACGCACAACACGTTCAACCTTAAAGTAGATGGGCTACAGCAGCAGAAGACCACACCAGGTGTCACTCCTGTCAGCTAAGAACAGGAAACGGAGGCTGCAATTCGCACAGGCTCAACAAAATTGGACAATAGAAGATTGGAAAAATGTTGCCTGGACTTAGTCCAGGAACACACCGCTCAAAACCTCCAGTTTAACTCTCAATTGACCCACCATGGTGCAATCCTCAATCTGTCTCCCAGGATGCACAGAAACATATATAGAAAGGCAGCACTCAAGATAGCTCCTCCAAATGTTACCTATTTCAAATGCAAAGTCCATAAAACAGCACCTACTGACGCATTTCTACCCATTAGTGCCTTATTCATAGCATTGCTAGCATTTGGAGGAGACATCTTGATTGATGCCATTC